CAAACAGCAACTTTCATGAAGAAAGGAAACAGTAGATACCTCTAAAGGGAACCAGCGATAGTTTGTTAGAGAACTGATATCCTCAAGAGTTCTCAGCTCCATGCTGGTCTTGCTGAACTTGGCTTGTTTGACCTTGTATGCGGTCTAGAGTCAGCAAGAGTAGAAACTGGTCTGGAGCTGCGGTGGACAGAAGTGACTGGCCTGGGACCTGCTGGTGTTGACAACAGAGAGATATTCACTGATTACAGATTGACCATTTCATATTAACATCAAAATTCCTAACATGCATTTTAATTATTTATGCCAAAGAAAGATTGAGCATACATTTTTAAATCTAAACATTTCAGCTGTAACCTCAGCAGTAGGCTACAGGTAAACAGGTATTCAGTCAGTAAAGCTGCTGGAAGAAGGAATAATTTTAACTTTTTACCCAGTAAATTCATTTAAATAAAAATTTAAACAGGTTTAAAGTGATAAGAGGAACACTATTAAGATAATGGGGGGTTCTTCCCAGTGTCTGTCATCCACAGCTGCCTACAACTGTCTGTCAGTTCTTTCCTTCCATTAATCAAATCACTGCAGCTATCTGACAGCAGCAGGTCAGACATAATGTGATAAATCTGCAGCAGCGCAGCTCAGTGCCTCATGCTGATCATCTTTGTTTATCTTGGATGAATCATCACATTCAGACAACACCACACTGCTGGTGTCACTGTTCTTATGGGAACAAAAACACTCAGCCAGGGGTTGGGTACCCATGTGTTCTTATTCTGTGCAGCCACCTCACAAGTAGCCTTAAAGTTATCATTCATATTGACTGATCTTCAGATTTTAGCTGTTGGTATACATTTGTACATGGATAGAGAGGTAGTCTTAATAATACACAATGATACACACTTGCTTTAAGTCTAAAATGTTTGGCTGCAGAACACACATTACATTTAATCAACATGTTTTCATACTATTTCGGTTGTATTTTGAGGTTTCGGTTTCCAACCTGAAGGTGTCTTGCTGGTAAAGCTCTCCTTCATTGTGGACGTAAAATCAGGGTAAGAAGGACCTCCCAGGTACTCTATTTGTCGCTGGTAGTCTGCCAGTTGTTCTGAGCGCTTTAGACCAGGTGTAGGTTTGACAGACTCCAGCCTCTTTAGAAAAGCCTGAAAGAAACATTTGTAAGTTTTAAATGTGATGCAAATGCTACTGTCTTCATATCACAACCTTAAAGTTCAGAGGTATGTTTTGGGAATGTAAAAGGATATGGGCACATATGAGGTAAGTGATAAAAGCCTTAAGTTTTAAGTATAAAACAGTTAAAGTTATTATAAAAAAATAAAAAATAAAAAAATGCTGCAGTTGAAAGGGTTTGAATGTTAATAATGTCATTTTGGAGTCTTTTCTTGAAGGGTACATTCATTTTGAAGTTTATCTTATTTCGTCTGGCACTTGATCCATGACATTTTTAACTTATTATTACAAAACTTAATATCTGTTAACATCATTCATTAAACAAAAAGTGTATTTTACTCAGAAATGAAGCACCAACCTGTGGTGCCCTATGTCTAAATTATTGTTAGATAATTTAGTAGTTAAGAGTATCTGACGCTTCATAGCAAGCATTGAGAAAAAAGAGAGTAGGCAAGTGGCTGTATGTCATACATGCAGACACACTCCCACATGCATGCTGTGCAGAAACCCTCGGTAAAAAGCTCCAAATGAAGTGATGCAATAAGCAAAAAAAGCTCCAGTCAAGAGAGAGTTGTGCTAAAGGTTACAGGTCCTCTGAAGGTCATTAAAATGCTCTGTGGTTTTCTGAGTGCAGTCAGCTTGATCACCTACTGTCTATGAATTTTGTAAAATCTCCTCAAAATAAAATCCAGTCTTCTGAATAAAATAAAACTGACACAGAATTGATGTTATGTTATGTTATCCATAATTGACCAATCTGGACATTTCAACAAGTAGTTCTTCTTGTGTTTTACATGTGTAGTGTGAGGGGTGGATACGCTGATCACACAGTAGATTCAATTACTTCACTCTAAGAATAGAAAAGTACTCCTGACAACATGGAGTTTGAATCGAGAGAGAGAGAGGGAACAGTCTGTGCAGAAAATGATCAGAACACATTCCTTGATTCAAAAAATACAAATTAGGATGAATTCAAAACCTTTGATACGAAGCAATCTATGAATGCTCTTCAATATCAGTGATGAAATATTTGAAGTTTTCTGTTTTTACTTTAAAAGCCAGTCAGAGGACACATTAACACCTGCCTGCAGCCAGTTATTTCTTAATCTTTTTGTGTTAAACTACTGCTTGTCTCAGGCCCTGTGAAAGGAACACGACATGGTCAAGCAGTGGTATTATACTGGGGTGAGAGGCTAGGCTAAGCTGAACAGGCTGAACTGTCTCATTATGTCCCTCTGTGCTGCTGCTGCAAGCCTGCCACCTGCTGCCATCTGTCCAAATCCATCCGTGTCTGCTTTCAGGGGAGGAACTCTTACTCCAATACCAACTAACTACAACTGCCTATAACAACTAGAATCCTACACACGATTGGCTTCACATAGACAACCTGATTATTCACCAATGCAATCATGAAAACCACAAATAAGACTTCAAGTCTTTAAAAAATTAAAATGCATATTCTGATGAATATTTGATGCACTTAATAACATAAATCCCTTTGACATTGCATATAAACAACAGTCAAGAGTACTGAAGAATTTATTTTGGAAAGAAAAGAAAATGTGCTGTAAATGCTTATATCACATGCAAAGGTTTATGGTTGTGTGTTTATCGAAAATGAGGGTGGATTCACACAGAATACAGATCTCACCAGGTTCTCCCTCTCAATGCGTTGTTGTTCCCTTTGCCTGTTGAGTGCGCTGTGAGAGAGGCGAATGGGCGGTGAGTTTTTATACATGTGACTTTTCTTTCCTGCTGAACTTCCTGCACTGGGTCCTGGAGAGAGGCGTGAAAGCTCCCGAAGAAGTCGCTGGTTCTCTTGGTCTATACATCGGACCTGGTCATTGGTGAACGAGTAGTTCTTTCTGTTTCTCGCTCCAGGATGGGGGAGGACCAGTTTACCTCCGAGCTGACTCTCTGAGCTGAAAAAGTCTGATTGGTGACAAGGAAATTACAAGTTACAAGTCAAAAGTATTGGATGCAATATTAAAATTGTTCTGTGAACCAAGAACCAATAAAGAGTTTATTTATTTTTGGAGTGAAATCCATTTAACATAAAAAAATATATTTAAAAACACAAAAAAGCAACATCACGACCCATATTTATAGAGACTTTAATCAAAGGCCATATCGCCCAGCCCAATATGCGACCTTGGGCATGCTGTATGTGAATTGTTCCTGATGTACTGAATAGGGGGGTAATGACAAGAATCTGCCAATACATTTCTAATCATGCCACAGAGGTAAACATTTATTCATTTACTTAATGATATATTGCAAAAATGTAAGCAAAGATATATTTTGCAATTTTTTTATTAAGGGAAAATGAATCTCTTTAAATAAAGCTATTCGCAAAAGATTCACTCCATTCATTCATTTTATTAAAAATTTTAAACCACTACAATCCTAGCTTGTGATAAGGTGTCAGAAGTATTATTTTACAAGAAAAGTCACAAGCAAAAAAAAAGTGGTACAATTGAAAGTATAAAGAAGTTACAGAAGATTGACAGACATGAAGGGCACAATGTTACTCACAGCCATCATTGTCTTGATCAGATTCCTCTTCTTCATGTGTGTTGCTAAGGCCACTGGAGGGCACCCTCTCCTCCTGCAGCTGCTGTGGATGCTGCTGCTGCTCTGTAAGGCGTCCCTCTTCGGACTCTGTTTGGTTCAGATCCAGTGACCGGTGGGGGCTGGAGTCTGAAGAGGAGAGGGGGCTCACATCTGTTACTGAATCTTCCGATACCTCTGTAAGGTAGAAGGGCACATTCCGAGATCCTGCTGAGCCAACTTGGTTGCTTCTCCCTCCTGGGGATAAAGATTTTTTGGGTCTTGAAAGGGTGGGGGGATCTAAACCGCTTCTCCCTCTGAGACTGCTACCTGAACTTTCCGAGTCTGCATCAACGCTTGCCTCGGTTGAAGTGGGGGATGGACTTCTGGTGTGTCGATTTCTTATTCGTCTTTTCGGGGAGCGTTTATTTCCTCCTATTGAGCCAGAGAGTTTGGCACTGGATGATGTTTCTTCTCCAGTCTGTTTTGGACTCTGTTTGTTCATATCTGTAACATCAACCTCCTCAGCCAACAAAGACATACATTTTCCATTTGGCCTTTTAGATCGCAAATCAAGCTCCTCCTCACCATCACTACCATCATTTATGACTTCAGCTGAAGAACTGCTAACAGAGGATATGCTTGATGCTCTGCTCCTCTCTTTTTCTGTGGATAGACAGCAGGTTTCTTTTGCTTCTGCACTGTCATTACGGTTGCTCTCGACCGGCTTCAGTTGTTTTGTTGCCCCTTCAGTCTTTGGGTATACACCACCTTTTATGTTGTCAGGCTGTTTTTTATTCAGCTCCTCATGAACTGGCAGGTTTTCCTTCTCATCTTTCAGGCATTTCTCAATATTTTTCCTGCCATCTCGACTGACACGACTAATGTCGCAATCACTGTCGAAGAATGAATGATCCACTTCACCTTCTAATTCACTGGGGTTTAACATGTTGATGTTCCTGACCCATCGACCCTGTAAGGAAGTGAAAGGTTGGTTAAGGAACAGTGTAAAGAAAAAGGTTAAAGAGTAAGGATAATTATTTAACCAATAAATACAAATTGTTTTTTAAACCATATTGCTGTTTTTAAATACTTTGATCCACAACTCCACTAGCAATCTTGAATATTTTATCCATCAAATCAACATTAATTCTAATGACATTATCCGATGTGTGCATTAGAATAGAATAGAATAGAATGTCTTCATTGTCATTATACAATTGTACAACGAAATTATTTGGCTTCACAATTTAAAGTGCACACACATACAAGCATCCACAGCTAAAGACAACAAAGACAATTTAAAAAAAAAGAAATGAACTCTCATTCGGGTAAGATGGGCAATGTACGGTAGGAGTTATTTACAGGTGGTAGCATAACAGAATATAAATAGATATTGCAGAAATATAAAATAAATATTGCACAGTTTGAAATGTAAAATATTGCAGAAATATAAAAATAAATATATCACAGTATGAAATGTAAAATTATTGCAGAAATATAAAATAAGATAAATATTGCACAGTATGAAATGTAAGATATTGCAGAAATATAAAATAAGATAAATATTGCACAGTATGAAATGTAAGATATTGCAGAAATATAAAATAAGATAAATATTGCACAGTATGAAATGTAAGATATTGCAGAAATATAAAATAAATACTGCACAGAGTTAGTTGTTTGCAGCTGCACCTATAACCAGCATCGCCACACAAAATAATGTGACAACTTATTTCATGTTAAAGAAGTGTGTAATTAAAGAGCTTACATTTGCAAATTCATCATTTTTTATTGTATTTAAAAACAAGTATCTGGATGTAACATTTGAAGTTCAGCGTTACAATAAAATATGCCATCACATTTAGATAAAACTAGAAAAGGTCATTACAGTCCATTAGGATTATTTCTAGGGGGTCACACGCCTGCACCTTACGCACAGCTACGCACATGTAAAGCACGTTTTAAAACAAAAACAAGACGTCTGATAGCTAGCCAAAGTAGCTAGCAAAACATAGTTGAACTGACAGAATGGGCTAGCTAACTTTTAGCCGAATGACAATGACATCTTACCTGTCGAATTGTCGCAGGAAAGCAGTATTTCTCACCTTACAGGTCAATTTTTGTTTCTTAAAAGTATGCGTTATGTTGAAAAGTCGAATAAATTAAACGCTATTCTGCTGTAAAAAAAAAACAAGTGTTTGTCAGCGGGCTGCTGGGGGCGTCACATGCCTTGTAACTATGCAACGTCATTTCCTGGCAACGGTTGTTATGTAGTAGAGCCCCGAAGTCTTTAGCGTTAAGTGAAAAGTACTATTAAATATAAAAGTATATACAATATATATATATATAAGTATATAAATATAAAAGTATTTTACTGTTTGTAAACAGTCGGAATGAATATACAAACGGCTTTTTATTATTCTGACTTCCGTATGAAAAAATAAACTCACTTAAAACACAAATACCTTAAAATAAAATAAACATATTGACAATATTTAATCAAGGCATAGCTTTGCACTCACCCACTAAAGAAATCCAGTAGGAAGCTTGAGAAACTAGAGCGGACCTTGAATTAGAATTATTTTAATATTAGAAAAAAAAAGATTTAAAAGGTGAAAAAATAACTTTCAAACATGTAAAGATTGTAGCCCAAATCAAAAGGAACTAATGAATGTTATGATTCAAATATTAATTGTTTTTGATTATATTACACAATAGATATTCTCAAGCAGGGGAGTCTAGATCAGTTTTGAACTTCTGCATCAATTGTGAAGACATTTTTAATATACTGTAGTTTAAACCTTTATTAGGCTTCTCAGCAGTGAGGCAGCGCTATTTAAACTGTGTCAGCATCTGTCTTGAGTTCACAGAGAGGGAAAAACCCCATTACACTTTGGTAATCTGTCTTTATCAGGTAAACGGATGAATAATGCAATCATATAAAAAATTGGTAGACGCAGAGACAGTAGGTCATGTTGTCTATCCTTGAGGATATTATTCCAAAGTAAACTGCTCCCCTTAGTGAACACCCTTTAACAAGAAAAGGGATTATCTGACGGCGCGTCCCCTGAAATTTCAATTTGTCACGGGTTTTCTTTTAATAACAATGTCAGACCTACAAGTGACACACACTAATGAAATGCCCATGTCCTCGGGTGAATCCATCGTATAGACCTGTGTCTGGTCACTGTCATAGAATTTACATGCCAATGCAGGATGGGTAGAGATGGGGATTGAATAGGCTTGTTTCTCCTGCATACTTACAATTATCAGCACATGGGTAAGAAATCACTATGACAGACAAGAAGTGTCCTCAAAATTACCGATCGATCTAATCTCTGAAATGTGTAAGACGATTTGAATTAAATGAAGGCTTCTGGTAGGACAAGAGAAGCATCCATCTGACTCTGACAAATTACTCATTATGAAAACTCAATTACAGGGACTGATTGTTTTCTAATAATGGGCTTTGACAGTCTAGATCAGGCTGCATTCAAGAGCAGCTTCTTCCCTTCACAGATAGTTTTGAGTGGGACTAAAGGGCGCCTCGGGCTCCCTTCAAATGGTTCTTGGATTCATCAGTAAATGAGGAATAATGCACTATAATTTCACTGTTATTTATTCAATGTCAAAAACAAAGAGTTCTCAGCATCCATCAGAGTTCAAGGTTGTAAATGATTACTAAACAATAATCATTTCAGGTGTACACAAAAAAATGATTGATCAGTGGAAATGTTTGGTATTTTTGTTTCTTTGTGACAGGGCCAAGGTTTATTGCCATTATTTAGTCTTTAATAAGCAAGGAGATTGTAGGAAGAAAAACTGATATTTGATAATAAAATTGTTTCATACTCAATTACTTTAGCTAAGCAATGAGATAAGTCTGTGTAGTATACTAATTTCACCTTTTTTTATTATTATTAAACAATGGAAATGAAGAAAATGTAGTTCATGTTGTGATTCGTTTCTATGTTCGCTTCATTCTAAAACAAAGACACATCTCTCATTTGACCGAGTAAATATAGAAGATAATGTTTGACCTGACCAAAACAATTATGATTAGTTACAAGAACGTATCGCCATAGAAATGTCTGAGTTCAAATGGTACCCGCAATTCTTCACTTAAATACCAAATGACATCTGTAAGAGCTCAGATGACCTTTGGCCTCTGAGGCAGACACAGATTATAATATGCAGTTTGATCCCAGAAATCTGCTCCTTTCCACCCACACCAGCCCTGAGAAAGACAACAGACAGACACAATTAATGCTGTTCTGTGAATTATACAGAAATACAGCCAGCGTAAATGCTTGTAAGCGTTACCTTATCTGTGATAACCTGTAAGTCCTCTGCTCCGGTGTAATGGGGATCTAGGATGAGATATCGGATCTGCCCGGTGGTCTCACTCCATGCCACACCTAGAATAGTGTGAGCTAAAACTCCCCCTCCTGCAAGACACGACAACATAGCACGAAAAAGATGCCTGCCTTTAATATCTGAAAAACATTCACCGTTGCTTATCAAAACAAAATAGTCTAGTTTGCTTTTGTGGGTCATGTAGAGATGTCAATATTAAATCAATGCTATTCCATAACCCCCGAAATCTCCTCACAGTAGATTTTATAGAAGTCATTTTATTTAAGGACCTGTACTAAAGAAGGGAGTAGGAGTACTGTAGTTCAGAAATCCAGCTCACCAATCATGATGGGAGTCCCTTCAGTGAGGAAGTGGTTCGCCAGTTCTCTTCCTTTAGAGCCCAAATCAGAACCTTGACTAAAGAGGACACAAATTCATCACAAGATATATCAACATATTCACTCAAAGTGCACTTCATGCACATGTAACCACACTACACACCTCACAAACATGATCTTTGAAGTGACCCCAAGCAGCTGGTTCAGAACAACCTGAACCTCGATGGATCCGATCCACTGACGTGATCCAACAAAGGACGCCTGTTTGTCTCCAACATCCAACAAAGCCTGGAAAGGAAAAGCCCCCATTAAACACAACTCTTTGGAAAGTTTCTATTGGAGTTTTGTGAGTGTGTGATGTTTGAGGGACCACTGCGGCACCTGTTGGATCTCCCTGTGAGTGGGCACAGGCCCCTCTGCGTAGCCCTGCTGCTTAAACCAGGAGCAGATGGTCTGCAGGGAGCGATAAGCACAGCCCAGCCGTTGTCATCCATGTGGTCCTGCATGTAGTGGTGATAGCTGTAGATGCCCTGGACCAAGTACACCTTTTAAAAACACATGAAAGGACATGAAAAAAAGACAGAAGGTTACAGCTCCACGAAGAGAAGGTCTGAATATTGATCTTTAAATAGGACATCGAGTGTGTAAAACTTCATTTAAAGCTCATGTGAGGAGTTTTTGGCTGGTTATGAAAAAGTTGGACAAAGTGATAAAGTTGCATGCTGCAGAAACAGACTATTTTACTTTTTACATTTTTGCACAGCAAAAGATTCTGGATGAGTGATACATTTTACTGTTAGGAGAGAGTAGCGGGAAACTTTTTGTTAAAAAACAACAACTACATACACATGCACAGTAAAAATCAGCAAAAAAAAATAAGAGTTACCCCTTCGTCTACAGGGGGGGTGACAAATTCTACAAGAGTCAAAAAATTCCTCCCAGGAATTTGGAGAGATTAGCCGTACCTTTCCATTGTCCAGGCTGGGATTAGTGAGGGCCAGGTGAGGGTTCCTGAGGTAGCCATCTTTGTAGGGCTCATTGGGAAAGTGGTAGGCATTGGCTCGTCTAAAATAGGGCCAGTCATTTGGGAGCTCAAACTGTTGATGCAATTCCTACTTAAAGAGAGATTTGTGTAAAATATAGTGAAAACATAAATCAGCTACCAAGCAAAGACCGGTGTTATTTATTTCACTCGTGTTACATGTAAGTAAAATAAATTGAATCCACTGACAGGTAGTCTGCAGGGTCAGATGCTCCAAAAGATTCATCTGGATCAAAATGATCTGGATTTGGAAATTCCATCTTTTGCAATAGGATCAATTTAACCCATCAACCTGATTCAGACAGGAGCATTTTGAGATAGCCAAATCCAGATTGTCAGTCCTCTGTCAGGAACTACTTATAACAAGAGTAGGCGACTAATTGTGACACTTTAAGTGATTTGATGTGAAGGGACAGATTATAACAAAATAAAACATTACAAACAACTTTGTTGATTACTTTTAAATGGTCCAACTCATGTGAACTCATATGAATAAATAGTACCTGAAATCACTTTATAAATAAAATGTATCACATTTAAAAACACACAATATTTTAAGATAATGTGAAAAAAACAGACACGAAAACGAAGCATTTGAATGACTAAGACTCCATTAGTTAGGATAAAACATAAAGCTGGACAGTCCCTGGTTCATGTTTTGGATCCTTTTGTCTTAAGACCTCTAAATCACACATGAGAATAAGAACACATAAGAACACATGCCTTATTTCTTATGAGCAACCCGCTCTAATGACGTGGTCCTGCAGATAGACAGAATCTGACCAGATACCTCTAAACAAGTGTGCACTGGATAAACAGCTGAATGTATCTGTATGCTATTAGAGCATTTAGGATAATGGCAACATAAACACTTTAAAAGAGCACTCTGTAGTTCTTACCTTACGTTCTGTTTCCAGCTGGCTGTCAGCCACTCCTGCTGGGTAAACAACAGTCACCAGTCCTTTTGGCTCTGGAAGCAGGAAGTGCAGCGGCTCAGGTACCAGCAGAGTCGTACCCTTCACGTGCTGCAGCATCACTTTCTCCATCTCACCCAGCTGACGACCCAACGCCTCCATCAGGCGCTCAAAGGCACTGCAACACCACAACAATCAACTGATAAACAATCAATCATTCAGTACACGTGTATGGACGCTGACACGGTGAGGTTTCAGAGCTTGGTTGGTAACATAAAAATCGGATGTTTTTATGGGTAAACATACTCTTTGGTGGTGTCTTTGCTGGAGGTGCGGACGACACAGTCCATGGGAAGAGTTGTACACAAGAAGTGGGATTTCTTGGCTGTCCTGCAGAGGACTGGAGCTGAAAGATGGCTTCCTTTTGTTGTCACTTCCATCATTAGGCGAAGATTAATAACACTCTGAATGACAAGTATGAATTCAAATTAAAGACGTGTGCATAGACACCATTAACATGAATGGAATTTCTTCAAGAGCTGAAATAATTAGTCTATTAAGCAATTAGATAATTAAGAGGCAGCTAATGGGCAAACGTTTTCAGAATCATGTAGTTCCCTATGACATATTTTGTGATATGGAAAATGTGCTAAATGTGTTGTTTGTGTTTACAGTGACATGTGCTTCTCTGTTAACAAATGAATTATTTTTTGTTCTATTG